GCAAGCTTGTGACTATGAGGTCACCAGAGCAAATTGAGAGGCAGCAGAAATTAGCTGGGAGCAGGCCATGCCGTGCTCACTTTCTTCATCAACAAAGCGGCTTGTAAAGTTTCAGGCACATCACTGAGGTCCTCATTGTTCCAGAGGTGCTGGAGGGAAGATTTTTGTCTTGCGTTTATGAGAGGAACTTGTGTCTTTTCTGGGGTGCCATGACTATCATAATTCTCTCATTTTCTCAGTGGCTTTTTTTAAATTCTATTTTATGTTTTTGGTCTTTAGTTTTCTTTGCTTCCTTGCTCCAGCTGGGAAGGCACAGCAAGTTCATCTTTTATTTTTATACATTTTTTTGAGGTTGTAACAGGAAACAAAGAGACGTCTGTTTCTGTCAAGAACTGCTGCAACAACATACACTCAAATATTCATCAGGAGTTCTGACAAACCACAGATACAACCAAGACATACAAGAGCTGGAAATAAAAGGGGAACAATGAGGGATTCCTCATGTGATAAATATCATTGATCCTGATTCATGATTGATTATTAGAATCATTTCTAATGATGATCAGAACCTGTGGAGAGTTTTTATAAGTCAGTCTAACAAACTAAATGATGTACCAACAGACCTAATGCATTCCTGACAGCACTCTCAATATGCAGAGGTGTATAGCGCCATCTTGTGGCCCTATTTTCCTCTCTTTCTTTCTTTTTTTTGAAACTAGAATAACAGAGATTTTGTTTCATTATATTACTGAGTTTTTACAAGGGTGGATTTAAAATATAAAACCTAATACCCTCAAATCTGATGACCATCAGCATTTCTGTTTAGGAATACATGTGTAAGCAGCAGTGGGTAGAGTAGCCAAAGGATGTACTCATGTAAAAGTTGCACAACTAATTTAATTAAGAACGAAGAAATTACTCAAGTAAGAGTAAAATGTATTCAGTAATAAGGCTACTCAAGTAATCAGAAAAATAGAAATATAGGTATACAAAAATTAAGAAAACAAAAAAATTAAAGAATGCATTCAGATGTGAAAAAAACTATTTCCTAATCTGTCTTTTTTTTTTTTAAACCAATACTTATGCAAAGTGTTTTTAATACACTCCCAAAATTATTTGGACATTGTTTACAGTATATGTAAATCAAGTTTAATTAAAATCCTATCCTCCATCTATATGGTTAAATTTGTTAATTGAAACAAAAGCAGCCTTAACTATTCTGTAAAAATTTACTAGAACATTTGTTGGGGACCTTATAGTTAGATCTACCAACCAGAACTTGATGCTCAGCTCTGGTTCATCCCAACGGTATTTTATAAGGTTAAGGTCAGGACCTCAGTGCTGGTGGATCCAGTTTCTTTAAACCAGCAGGAAGTCATGGAAGCAAACAGAACAACTAAATGTATTGATTTTGTGGTGTGGATTATTAATCCTCAGTGGACCAGTGGGTAGCCCTGCTGCCCTGCAGCACAAAGGTCGATTCCCAGCCTGAGGTGTTTCTGCATGGAGTTTGCATTATCTCCCTGTGGGTTTTCTCCAGGTACTCTGGCTTCCTCCCACAGTCCAAAAAACATGACCAATTAGTTGGCTTCTCTAAACTCTCCTCAGGGCTGAGTGTGTGTGTGATTTGTCCGTCTCACCCTGCTATGGACCGGCGACCTGTCCAGGATGTACCCCACCTCTCACCCGTAGACAGCTGGAGATAGGCACCACCAGCACCCCTTGCCACCCCACTTGGGATTAAGCATGTCAGACAAATGACAGTGTGTACATG